ATGTGTGTGTACTTCTAACCACTCAATATTTTTAGACTGAGGAGGAAATATGTATTTCAGTTTGTTTACAAGCATGAAAGCAGTCTATATGTCCTTTTCACTGAATAGATGATTCTGTTACTTGGAATCCTATTTCCTTCACCTATAATGGATAAATATTTGTGAATCTGTTTCCAGAGGATTGGTCAATTCTATATGGGTCAACTATTTGGATTAATTACAATAAAATAACAAAAGATATAAGCTATGCATTATGTGTTCTTAATTAGATGAGTATAATTAATGTATATGAGAAAAAAATCTTTAAAATCTTTTTTTCTCGTGTATAGCCACTTTAAGAGATAGTGCATAATTAACAGAGCATAATTAGCAGGGATTGATTGTTGGTGTCTGATCATTCCTAAGAATTGGATTCTGACTACACCTCAGGTTGATTGAAGTGATAATGTCTCAAACTGTGAGTTTCTCTAGTCTTAGATTTTTGGTTATACAGTTTTCTTCCTTTTAGTATATCCAGGGAAAATTTATTCTGACTTCTATCAACATTCTTTTTTTTCCCACAGTACTTTTCTAGGGTAACTAAGACAATTTAATATTGTCCAATTAAGTTCCATATTTGTAGCACTTTTTCTTTAAAACTCATTTTTTTTTCTAAATTCTCAAATTTTATTTCTGTAGTAGACAGGGATAGGGAGCAAAAAGGGAAATACATCCACAGTTAACTGGATCTAGCTGATGAAAGCCTGTGGGGAAACTCTTCCAAGTGTCTTAACCCTTTATATACCTGCAGATATGTAGTACTATAATTTTTTTAAACAATTATAGAATATCTGAAGAATGGGTCCCAGAAGCAATGCAAATCCTACTTTGTAAACAATCTGTTAATTTATAGGAGGCTTTTACTCATTTACTTTGTCATAGCATATAATTTTCTCATTTTTAAGGTTTTTATTTTCATATATTTGATTTCTTTTTCTTTAATTCTTGTTTGCTTCATAATCCTCTATTTTGTGTTTTTTTTCTGTCTCCTTGGAACTTTTCATCCATCTTTCATACTTCTATAATTAAGTATATTTTCAAGTTTTCAAATAATTAAATTTTATCCTTTTTATCTGTGTTGGAATTTGATATTATAACTATACAATATATTATATCTATCACTAACTTCAACTGCAGTTTAATTTTTCTAAATTTTCTAATTATCAATTGAGTCTGATTTTTCCTAGGTTACCTTTATTATGTCTGAGTCCCAAATTCTATATTACTGAAAACTTTAACCAGTTTTTGATGATAATAACCTTTTTACTATCTCCCTTGCATCCTTTAAAAATATTCTTAGCATTATGTTAGCAGCTGCAGTTACAAAAAGCATCTGACATAATTCCTTTTCACAATTCATACAAATACAAAAGTAACCCTAATGCAATGTGATAAGTACTATATGGTGGCATGCACAAGGTGTTAGGAGTAGGAACACAGAAATGAGGAAAGTGTGGATTGGGTTTATGGTGTGAAGACATGGAAGGGAAGGAACATCTATTAAAGCAGGTGTTTAATGCTACCTTAAGTTGTACTTCTCTTCCAGAGACAAGAGAGCAGTGGTTGGAGATGGTGGAAGGGGAATTGGGGAAGGACTCATATATTTAAAGGCATGAAGGCATGTGTAGTGTGTAGCATTTGTCAGATAATAAATAGATGTTAATGGATCATGGGATACAAAACAAAAAGTAGGCAAAATGAGATAGAACATGAACCTAGCTAGAAAATACCAGCCACAAAAGGACTTTTAAATCTCTAGGAAATGGCAGTTCACCTGTAGGCATAAAAGACCTATTAAACCATTAACAAAATGGTCTGTTTGGAATGTTGATGGGTGTTTGCTGAAATAGAAAATAATAAGAACAAAGGATACAGAGGCTTTGTGGTACCTCTAATGAAATGTAATTAAAGTAGGGGCAATGAGAAGAGAAAGGAGAAGATATGTGGTTGATAATATTCAATTTAAAAAAGGAAATATGATATATGAACCTTTTGAAAAGTGCCCTTAACTCTATGACTAGTACTGTGTTTAGCTTTCAGATTTCACACATAAATGTTTAGTAATTGCCATATCTTTTATTCTTTTGGTAGTAAGGCATTACAAACTCATACTACTGTATTAAATTTCTATTTCTTTCCCCATAGAAGATGAGTATTCTGACTTTTGAGTAACCTTTCTGTTTAAACTTTTATACTTTTACTGTATATATGTGCATTCATATTTAATAATTTTAATATTTGTAGAATTTCATAATTCAAAAATTACCAGTGTATTATTTTATAACATGATGTTTTCCATTAAATATTATATATTTTTGAGATTTTTTTCCATGGTGACAAATATAAATCTGGCTCACTCAGGTTACTTGCCAAGTAATTCATTCCACTCTATTAATATGCAATTTACTTATGTATTATTTCATTGTGGATATAAAGGGTATTTTCATCACTAGATACATATTTCAGCAGAAGAATTTACTGGGCTTGGTGTCATATATTACATCATGTTCTCATTCTTGTAACATTAATTTTCTCTGATAAATTTATTTATTTAGTTTTAGTTCTTTGAGACAAAGTCTTGCTGTATAGTCCAGGCTGGTTTTGAACTTATTATGTAGTCCAGGCTGGCCTCAAACTCTTGGCAATCTTTCTGGCTCAGACTTCCAAGTGCTGGGACTACAGACATACGCCACCATGCCCAGAAATTTTCTCCATTTTATGCATGGGAAATAGCTTCAGAGATGAAATGTATGTTACTCAAATTCACCAAGATTTTTAAGGTGGCAGAATGTGAAACATGTTTTTTCAGATTTTGAAATCTATAATCGCTTTATTATCACATGCAGCTATTCAAAAAGCAGTAGAAATTATTGCTTTTAGATGTTGCAAGAGCAAAAATAGAGATGCAGTCAAAGGATGACACCATCACATGGAGAGCCTGTCTTTAATTTGAAGTCTGAAATGGAGTCCTAGGGTTCTTGTATCCCATTGAGATTGGTGATCAACCTTGATATAGCTTAACACAACTATGGGACTCAAGCTGTTTACTGGGGACTTTTATGTATCCAGTACTCTACTAGGCACCATGGGGCTCAGAAAGAAAAATGTTTGGTGGAATAGTCCTGGAATCCATTAAAAGAGTATAAAATGAAGCACTAGAAACAGAAAATTACTCAGGTTAGAGTGGACAAGGATGATTTCATGGAGGGAGAACTTGAATACAGGTTACAGTGTGCCAATTTCTAATTACAGCATACTGGATACTCCTCAGGGGTTTCCTCTGAAGACAGGAAGCTGAAGAGAGGAAATTATACTGGGATTTTCTATTATGAGTTTGTCCAGAAATCCATCTGCTCCAAATAAGAATATTTTCTCAAATAATTAGAAAAATAACAAATGTTTTAGAAACCTGTGAAGTTTCTTAAGACACAGAGTTTTATTAAAAATCAATAGACAGTTATGAAGAAGGATTGTGTAGGCTAATAGAGTACCCCATATGTCAATAAATAGTAGCCATGAGCTATAAGAGAGGCTCATCTTCCCCCCAAATTTCTATCATCATCCCGACACATGATTTTTTCAGGTTGTATCCCCAGAAAGTCAACATCATGAGGCTACAGCTTAATTAGGAATGAAAAAATTTAAAAACTGTTGAGTCACATTGTGGTAAGTATGTGAATATATTAATCATAGCCTATTAAAATATCTTTTCTGATGTGGAATTTTGATGTTTTCTGTTGGTCAGTGGCATCTTTTTTCTCATTCATTCATTTTGTCTCATAAATTAAGTGCAACTGTGGACGAGTGAAAGAGAAACTTTAATATATATATTTAATATAGGCACATAGTAAGATACAATAATTATTGCATTAATTAATGTTTTGTAGATAAATAAACTTAACATCAAAGGGTTTAACTTGCCCCCAAATCAGCCTGTCAGTGGATCAATCAAGATACATATGTTGGTTGTGTAAACCCCAAACCCATATTTTTCCCACTATGCTATGTTGATTCTCTAAATAAAATTAGATAATATATAATATTAATATGTGTAATAATTTGTTACACAGAAGTTTGCAAAAATATTTTTAAATTACATTTTAGTGCTTCTCACAGATTTCAGAACATGAATTAAGTACCCCAAGGCAGTGCTTCTCAAATTACCTGTATGAGGAAAAGCCTGTAAGCTTTTTATTCTGACTTCTTCTAAGTTCGAGTCCTTCATGGATGGTTATTTCTGGAAAACAGAAAATCAGGAACATAGGTGTCATTATAACACCCACTGCTAAAGAAGTTGTTAAAAACTTATTCTCAAGATTTTTTGTACCTAACATGACACAAAGTGATCACAGACAGTTCACTGACCTTTCCTTTCTTATGGATCACTTTTTTCATTTATGAATAAGTTATAATATATGCCTTCAAGAAGTTTACAGTCTCCTTCATGAGTTAAGATTTTCACCCTGTTCACTATGAGGGAGGGTAAAATAATAAGGCAAGAATTCACACATGTGGTAATATAAATTAACATTGAAGATGAATAGATTCTCAGAGGTTTGGAATGAGAAGGAAAGAAGAAAGGTCTGTTTGCCAGGTGAGAGATCACTGGCTTGAGAATGGATGCAATGGAGGCAGTGACTGGGAATGATCACATTAATTTTGACCAAAATCAGAAAGGTTTTGGGTTGAATTCTTGTTTCTTATGTTGGTATTTGTGTACCTCATGAGTAACATCACAGCATTTACCTGTGAGGAGTGGAGGAGTATTGAATGAAGAAAGAACTGGGTGGTAGAGAGAAGATCCACATGCCAGCCACCAAATTTATATTTCAGAAAGCATGACTGCATTAATTTTAATGCTGATTAACATAGACTTTAGTTTTGATTTCTATCCTTCAAGTCTACTAATATAATTATGTTAATTTATGTTTTCTCATTCAGGTAGCATAGCCAAAAAGCCAATGGATAGAGAAAATCACTCAGCTGTGTCAGAGTTTTATTTCCTGGGACTCACCAACTCCTGGGACATCCAACTATTACTCTTTGTCCTTTCCTCTATGTTTTACATGGCAAGCATGATGGGGAACTCCCTCACTGTGATCACAGTTGCTTCTGACCCTCACTTGCACTCCCCCATGTACTTTCTGTTGGCCAACCTCTCCTTCATTGACTTGGGTGTTTCTTCTGTCTCTTCTCCTAAGATGATTTGTGATCTTTTTAGAAAGCACAAAGTTATCTCATTTAGAGGGTGCATCACTCAAATCTTCTTCATCCATGTCATCGGTGGAGTGGAGATGGTGTTGCTCATAGCCATGGCCTTTGATAGGTATGTGGCCATTTGTAAACCTCTCCACTACCTGACCATTATGAATGCTAGAATGTGTTTCTTCTTCTTAGTTGCTGCCTGGATGATAGGCCTCATGCACTCTGTGGTTCAACTGGCTTTTGTTGTAAACTTACCTTTCTGTGGCCCTAATGTGTTGGACAGCTTTTACTGTGACCTTCCTCGGCTCATTAAACTTGCCTGCACAGACACCTACCACCTGGAATTCATGGTCACGGTCAACAGTGGATTCATCTCTGTGGGCTCTTTCATTATACTGATCATTTCATACGTCATCATCATTCTCAGTGTTCAGAAACACTCTTCCACGGGTTCCTCCAAGGCTCTGTCCACTCTCTCAGCTCACATCACTGTGGTAGTCTTGTTCTTTGGCCCTTTGATATTTTTCTATACATGGCCATCTCCTTCCACACACCTGGATAAATTTCTGGCCTTCTTTGATGCAGTTCTTACTCCTTTTCTGAATCCAGTCATCTATACACTCAGGAATCAAGAGATGAAGGTGGCAATGAAGAAAGTATTCAGACAGTTAGTGAGTTATAGAAAGTTATTTTAAGTGATTTAGTATTTTGGAGCACACTTACAGACTATTAAAGTTCACTGTGATGATCAAACTGAGATAAAAGCTTCTCTTTGTTGTATGATGATTTGATCATCCACACTGATATTAGGTCTGTTTTATTTTTTACTTCTATAAGGGCAAGAGAAATTTTGCACAAAGGATTTAGAAACCAAATATTATAATAATTGAGATTTAATTCTAAGATAAAAATTATTTGAAGTAATTATTAGAAATATATAAGAAGCCAAGTTACATTAGGGCCTCAGAACCACAAGTCTTTTCTCTAATCCACTGTCATCCGGTATGAGCTCATTTTAATTTGACTGTATCTGCAATGACTCTATTTGCAAATAATCTCACCTTCATGAAAACTAAATTTTATAACTGCAATGTATCTATTTGGTGGACACAAATCAGCCCACTATAGTAATGTAGATATGTAGGCATTTGAAAAATATAGTGGTTGTAGTATAACTACTTATTTATCAGGGTGAAAATATATTTGACATAAACATGGTAGAAATAATTTAGGTTTTTAATAGGCAAATAAATAATTTTTTAAAATGAAGTATTAAAGCACACAATATTAATTCTATGTCACAGAATCTCTGCTAACTAGGAAGATTACACAGAAGAGAGAGAAAAATATTTACTACTTATAGATAAAGAATAAACCAAGATAAATTTATCATGTTATTCTAATAGAAGAGAAACTATATTTTATAACATTGACAATAAAGCATCCTTAAAATGTTTTTGTAAATTAATCAAAACTGGGCTGTGTAAATTTTGCCAAAATTAAAAACTATATACTTGCTTTTTCTCAGACCAGTTACTTGTAGTTATACACATGTAACTAAGGCAGATAGAACATACTTTTGGAAACTTCTATACCTATTAGGTTTTGTTTTTTGCTACTGTCTTTATATTCTAGAATAACCAATCATTCATTTTATCTTAAAATGAATCCACTTTTTGTCCCCTTGAAAAACAAAGCAAGATTCTATTACATTGAATAGTGAGTATATTTTTGGCTACTACTATCTTTAGACCCCATTTTGATTATGACATTAAAAAATCATAAAAGTAACTTTTATTTCATAGAGAGTATTTATTTAAGAAAACTAGAGCCTGACAATAGTTAAAAAGAGATTATTATTCAGGAAATATTACAATAGGAGAAAAAAGACACCTTAGCATGGAAGTAGGCTGAATTCCCAATACAGTAAAAATAGTTGACTATTTATAGCTAAAGAGCAAGTTGTGGTGTGAATGGATTGAAAATTATCAAGAGGAGATATCAAGGGTAGGAGACTGTCATTAAGTTGACTTAGCAAGATTCTTGTTAAAAGTAGGCTATGTATGCACAGCAAGCAGGGAAGGGGTCAAGGTTGCGGACTAGTTAAGAAAAAGCTTCAGAGGAGCCTGAATAAATTTTGTTAAAGGACAGTCTTTGTCCTACTTAAGGTAGAAAAGTGAGAATTTTTGACACAATTATTTTAGTAGACCAGTGAAAACCATGAACACTCAAAATATAACAGTACATGTATTGTCCAAATCTTTTTTTTTTTTTTGTACTGAGGATCAAACTCAGGACCTTCTGCTTGCAAGGCAATGGAACCACTGAACTAAATCCCTGGCTCATGTACTGTCCAAATCGTAAAGGGAGTAAATTTCTCTCTCTTTGTTTCTTTCTTTTTTCCTTTCTTTCTTTCTTTCTTTCTTTCTTTCTTTCTTTCTTTCTTTCTTTCTTTCTTTCTTTCTTTCTTTCCTTTCTTTCTTGAGGTACAGTCTTGCTACATAGATTGGACTGGACTTGAACTGACTATGGAGTCCAGGCTGGCCTCAAACTCATGGTGATCCTCCTGCTGCAGCCTCCCAAGTGCTGGGATTACAGATGTGTGCCACCATATTTGGCATCAGTCTTAAAGTAGAAAAAAATGAACACAATTTTCTAACATTATGTGAAAATATACACACTCTGTACAAGTCCAAGTATGGTGGTGAACGTATCCATGAATAGTTTTAATGTTTACTTAAAAGTTAGGTTTTGGCAAGCATGCCATGGTGTCAGAATCATATTTCCATACTGTGAGAATTATACTTCCCATTGGCTGAAAAAATACTTGTATAATTTTCATAATTTTAAATATTTCTTTAAACTCCATCTTAGTATCAGCCAGAGGACTTACAGCCTCAATATAAAATTATCATGAAACCAGCCTAGGTTGTACAATAATTTAGTTTGATTATTTAAATACCAATTATTATGTAAAAATGCTCTCAGCTGGTAATTTCTATAGAATTTTTCCTTAAAAAGTAGGGATATTTAAAACAGAAATTCAGCTTATGTACTGGAAGTTTAGGTAATACCAGATTCGAGTGTACACTGATCTCTAGAAGACAATATTAACATAAGTCCAAGAATATGCTTTACATATAACATTAATATTTTCTTAATGTAACAAGATACTTCACATTCATACAATGAGAGAAAAAGGTACTTTAATTACAGAAACACAGTCCCATATAAAAATCCTAGATTCATTTCAATTATAGATACAGATCAAGACTCAGATTTACAAAAGTTATAAATGTAGACAAATACAAAAATTCACATCAGACCTGTAAGAACTTTTCTATTCCTTGTAGTAACAAGAATAATCATTGCACAAACAGATAAATAGACTCTATTTTTTTTAAGAGTAGGAAAAATTTATTGAGGGGAAGCATCTGTCTAAGAGAGACAGAAGGGGTACCGGAAAGTGGGTTGCCCACCCATCCCACATTTCAATGATGTTTTATACAGCAAAGCCATGTGGTGAGGTGGGTACAAAGTGGGACAAAACTATAAGACCCAATGAAAATTTGCAAGGTGGGCATGAGGTGGGACAAAACTAGAAGCAACCAATAAGATTACAAGTACAATTACCCAGGTAAAATTGATTAAGTGGGGGTTGAATAGGGGAGCAAGTCACATAGCAAGCATACAAGGATTTTCAGTAAAAGTGGGTCAGGGATATTTCCTGGAGAGGCTGGGTTAAGACCTTGCCCCCCCCCCCCCAGATTGATACCTGTTTAGAATATCAATCACTGCTATTCATCCTACATGGGTGTGGTAGTTTCCTCTCCTTTTACAATGCTGGCCTTCAGTGAATGTGTCTTCACTGTTCTCCATGTTGGTTCCTTGTGGGCTGGCTCCTGGAGGGCTGGTGCCTTAAGGGAGGCCTTATCTAACTGCCAACAAGATATCTAATTAACTTTCCTATCTATGATATTCCCCCCTCTGAAGAAGTACTCCTAACTGCTTTGAGGGGACAAAGGGAAAAGACCCATCTGGCTACTTCCAGCTGAAGTGGGTTGTAGTTGTGATCAGCAGTCAGTTACTCTTCAGAGGACCTATCTAAAGCCCTTTGATAGGTGCCAGGCATTGTCATCTTGGGTATCCTTATAGCTTTAAGTCTGGAGGAGACAAAAGCCAAAGAAACAGTTAAGAAGACATGGGCTAAATTATAAGGTCACCAGGGTTGTCATAAATATAGCCTGTAAGTGTTTTTACTAGGAAGAACTAGTAATAGCCTCTACAAAGAGGATAAGGAGAAGGTCCAGGGACTTCAGAATCTAATATAGAAGTCATATTGTGTAGCTTAGCAGTTATGACCTGTTTATAAGGTCAATCTCGTGGATCCCAGTAAAAGAAATCTAGCACATTTGTCATTGGCTCCATTTGTATGTCTACTTGGAGTTTGGCAGCCTCTAGGCAAGAATAAACAAAACTTTTAAGAAATTAGAGCATGAAAAATTTAAGCATGAGCACACTAGAATAGAAGGGCAGGTTGGGGAGAAAGTCACACTTAGAAATTGAAATAGTGATTGTAACCTGCTGGCTCTTATAGATTCTACCATAGTTTTTTCCTAATGATCCACAACTATCAGCTACTAGTGTAGTAGGAAACTGCCAGGAGTCAGCAATCAGAGCCCCTTTTTATATCTAGCTTTATTACTATAACATTTTATACCTCTTTTGGTTATTCTTTTCTGGTGGGTGTTTAAGACCAAGTTAAAGTGAGACCTGTTTTAATCAGTATGAACCTCTTGCTATCTATCAAGGTCAATTAAATCTTCTCAGGGATTACTGTGGAACCATGCATAGAGCTTCTTACCTCCTCTGTTAGTGTCAGCAATCAGGCTGGGTCATGGGTTTGCTGGACCATGTTGCTTTCAGTGAAAGCATGGGAGATTTTTCCCTCTTTGTGACCCTTCTTTGGCACATGGTACATTTGTTCTCTGGTGACCAGCAGTCTCCCTGCTCAGGAGACTTACCAAAGATGTAGGGTCCTGTAGGAAAGGTTCCTTTGTGTCCTGGATCTTGGTTGACCTTGAGTGGCCAAGGCCAAACTATTGGCTGTCCTCATAGCCCAGTTACCTTTCTAGCTTTGGTCTCTAAACTTTAGTTGTTGAACACCCAGAAGAAAAGATCAGTGACATTAGTAGTGCAGTAGGAGCAGTGAGCTTAACTATTATAATTTTGCCTGGACATTAAGCACTTTGAAGTATAAAACACAGTTAGAGGGGCTGATATTTCTTATCAACCATGGTTGTGCTAGTAGTTGAATCCCTCTCTGCTGAATGTTAACAGATAACAGTTATATTATAGAGAAACAAGATCAAGAGCCACGCATAGTATTTTACCATGACAACTATGACATTATCTTTGGAACACATTCAAATGTCCATCTTTGTATGAAATAGTCTTTTAGTTAAACACCTCTATTTGATTACAAGACATTAAATGACGCATAGAAAACTCTTATTTGTTATCCTTTAATAGTATGTCATGTAAAGAGAACACAAATATCAGCCTATAAATGTACCTTAGAAGTTTATAATGTCTAGCCCTTAATTTTTAGTGTGTGAAATTGTTTGGACTGTTTGGCATCTGAGCATCTTTAACATACGTGGTGACACATAACATATATATCAATTAGTTTTTA